ACTTTGAAAACTAATGGTATTTTCAGTAACTTGAGTTTTATTTTGAGTACATAGATATATTTTATCATGGGAGGTAGGTTGGCAGTTTAAAGAAAAGTAGATTACGCACCTTGATAAAGTGAGTAATTAATGCACTCGTGTTAATTTAGTGCCCTCGCATGTGTACCAACATAACATTCGTGCATTAATAATTCACTTAGCGATGCAACAATCAAGCACTATGCAACCATCTACTATAGTTGATTTAGCATTCAAAGAACTCAATTGACAGTTAACAATTAGGTTAATAAAACAACTCAACTACACTACCTTTACAGAGAAAGGTTCAGGAATTCTAGTACCTGAAGCTAGTGGCAGTAAAGCTAAGAAAGTTGACTGGTTGTTAATTGATTTAATCGCACAGTACAGCTGTTCATAAAACGGATGTAAGTTTTAAATAAATGCTGATAAATTAATTGAAATAATTACTGAAACTAACCGTCATATTTATAAACAAGTCAAAGTCATTACTTCTGTTTTAGTAATTACATGCATCATCTTTCATGTCGTATTTGAGAAATTAATCAAAGTAAGAACTGCCAAAAATAAAAATTCAATAGATACTATTTTCATTGCCAAGTGACTATTTGGTTTCTTGAAGAATTCCAGGTTCAAGTAATACTTGGTTCCTTAGCAACAAAGTGATTACTTAGCAACAACTTTATATATATGCGAGTAACCGTCGTATTTATAAACAAGAATAAGACAATACTTCTGCTTAAATAATGACTTGAGCAGCTTATTTCATTTCATACTTAAGAAATTGATCATGTAAGAAATGTGGAAATTGAGAATTCTTATTATAACCAAGTAATAATCACCATTTTAGTTTCTAAGTAACCATTCGTTTTATTGAAGAACTAGCTATGCCACGTGGTGTTACCAGCGGTTTATTAGGGATATTTTCCCGCAGTAAAACGTAGCCTATATGTTAATCCAGGGTATCAGCTAACTCCATACCAAATTTTATTTAAATCGCTCCAGCCGTTTAGACGTGAAGAAGTAACAAACATACACACTCACAAACTTTCGCCTTTATAATATTAGTGTGATTCTTGTGTCAATAAATGACTTGCTTACTCAACGACAAAGTAATTACTTGAAATTATTTATGAACACGACGGCAAGTTACACAGGATAGTCGCTTAACGTGATCGAGTTCCAAAAAGCATAAAAAAAAAATTTTAGGCCGCGTTGATTCATTTTTAGTTAAACGATTATAGTTAAATACTTAAGAAAAATAACCATTTGTCAAAATTTGACGCATTTACCGTGACATTAACTATAGTCAAATTTAACTATGAATGTAACAACCCGACCTAAGTCAACGGGACAACAAAAGTATTTGCTCAGGGCGTAGACAATCCTTTGTGTTTTATTAAAATAAATATTTGCAGTAATTTAAACGTCTCTGAAGTCAAATGGTACCTGCCCTACCTTTGATTCTTTGAGAAATGTCTCTAAACAGCCATCATGAGTTAAGAGCGCAAGACCGGAGAGTTTAATAGCTCCTAAGGTAAGAGCCTTTTAAAGCTCTAACTTAAGAACAGAAGTTACTTCTTTTCTTCATAAAAAAAGTAATTCTTTTCATTTCATTAATTTCATTTATTTTTCTTGAATTTCACATCATTACACATTCAACTATGAGGTAGGACATAGCGGATTACCCGCTCTAATTTGAAGTGCCCGTCTGAGGAAGTAACCTCTACCTTACAGAAGACTACAGTAAAATAACACTACCTTTTAGTGGTGTTGTGTTTCTGTCTGTGAGTAAGGTTCCATGGCTCTAACGAGTAGGGGATTGGATCAATGTAGCCAACGTCGTGAGTGATATTTTCATGCGATTCAAATAAGAATAGGAAAGCCAATGACCTCCATCTGTCAAATGTCGCTTGAAAAGTACGGTTTTCGAAACAATCTTGGAACCCTTTTTTAGCACTCAGCTAATTCTAGAATAAAAAGCAAACATTTGTAAACAAACAATAACAAATATTGATAATTAATATTGTTTGATATTTTTTTTTCATTTATTGAGCTTTGGCTATGACTGGTTGATAACCTAACTCGTGCACCAATGTCACTTTAAGTTGCGTTCATAAACTCGATTTAAAACTTTTGTTTACATAAAAGATACATGTTCGTATGTGACCTAGTAATAGTGCATGATTATTCATAACTACTCCGCGGTAATGCAGAGATGAGCGGCATTGAAGAGTTAGATTCTGATTCATGGCTTTTCTCACACAGTCTTAACAAATAAATATTATTAAAAATCGGTTTTATATATTCCTCAATGTTAGTAAATAAATTTTATTAAAAAATGTGATGTTCTTTCTCACTTAATCTTAGCAAATAAGTTTTATTAAATAAAACTTCTTTTTGCTCACTCTACCTGTTTGGTTTGAATTGACAGTTATGGCGTCACAATGTAGCACCCAGTTGGTCCTATTCTTAGTTAAAGCGCATTATATCGCAGCATCTATAGGCTATGGTGGCCGCTTGCCACCGTTTTAACATAAAAAAATCTTTCAAATTTATTCGTAACGTTTTTTGTGGCTAACTGTACAGTGTACATACTTAGTTGATCTATAAAGTGTTTTAAAATAAAAAGGTGCGTATACAGTGGTATAGGTACGTAATATGTATTGAATCTACTTTTCTTTAATTTGGTCGAAAGTAACTGTCACTCACTCACTCACTGTTATAAAGTAGTATTTTCTGAATTCCTTAATACAAGTAGTTTAGCATACTACTTATATGACACCGGGTAGAAGTTAAATAATCTCCTGACTTTGTGTTCCCTGGTACAATTTAAGGCGGTTGACGGCGTCTTGAGCACAGAACTTATAATAAGAGGATATATCCTCTTATTATAAGTTCTGTGGTCTTGAGTAATCTTAAAAGCGTAGGTTAAAAAGAACAGAAATGCGATAACTTATAAGTAGATTTTAACAGCGGTTTTGTCCGCGTGAACAATCGAATATTTAAAACAAAACTTCAGGGGGTTTTCCTTTCTTTTATTGGGGATGTATATTATCAGTACTACCAGTGGTGACGTGGTGACTTTCGTGATTCGAATGAAACTGAATCCTTCAGAAATATAATAATTTGCTTTAGGACCAAAAGTATCATCCAAGTTATAAACTATAATGTTTAACCTATGTCATTAATATCCTTTCAGCTGTTTAAGCGTAGCTTCGGGTAACAATGATTTTATTCTATACCTCATTATCAATAAACAAAGATACTTGGACTTTAAGTTAAAGGTGCTTAAGACGGCGTAACGAAACGATATCGAATTCGAATAGTTGGATTCGATGTGTCAAATGCCATGAAGGGAAATTTTAATAGCGTCACAACGGACGTAACGTCAGTTAAAGATCTTCCATACAAAATTTCTTGACATTTGATGCGTAACGACATCGGATTCAACTATTCGAATTCGATATTGGTTCGTGTTAAGGGTACTTGGTTAGCATCACAAAAAAGGAATTTGAATTTTGATAAACAGAGACAAAACACTGCGTAACTAAACTAGTGCCAGCTATAAAATATGGGGCAAACATTAAAATTTATCATATTATGATTTTAAGAACAGTAAAAGAATTCCATGCAAAACGATTTACTGGTGTAAAGAGCGTTTTGTATTGCGTTCTTACATTGAATCATATTCAAAAACTTACATTTCGTGTCGGTGCCATTCCAAACCAAACACTCAATGGTAACTCAAATCTATCAACATGCATGGCACCGACAAAAAAAATATAATTTGACTTTAAATGTACTGCAGATATAACTAAAGAATATGTATTATTTTTTACTTTTTATAAGCCCGAGTAACATTAACTAGAACCTTAAAAAAAGTTCGTGAAACGATACCTCACACGATATCTTTAAAAGTGATAGGGGGAGGAAACGTCAATGTAACAAACCCCCCCCCCCCCCTCCTTCTCCTTCCTCATTTGTGGTTAGCCATAAAGCGATATTACTGATTCAACTGTTCTACTATGATCCTACATAGAGATCCGTTCAGGATCTCCGAAAAAAAATGAAAAACGACGGGTTGCACTCCGGGAGCGGCGGCAGAACTGAAAATTTGAATATTAACGTTGTGCATTTGTGATGTTTTGGAATGGTTAGGGAATAATTTTGCACGAAATGCTTTAATTATCAGTATTAAAGTACTATAATTTATGTGGTAGGATACAATATTTATTTATTGCGCTATCGTACACAAACACGACAATTTATATTACATTAAAAAAGTTTATTTCTCAGAAAAATCCACTCACATGAATCACGTTTAAGCGCACTTAAAAAATCCTGTGTCCTGACGCGAATTTAACATATTTTACCCATACAAAAAAGTGTACAACGCTGCTAAAGAAGTTTTCATTTCAAACACAGAGATGAATTGAGAACCTCCCCCTTTTTGAAGTCGATTGAATAGAGATCGCGTCATGACCTGAGCTATGAGCTTGATACCTTACATATAATTTTCAGTACAGCATAGGTACAGCATAGGTGTTGTCTGAACAGTATGAGATGCCTTGGCAACATTTGAAGGAATATGTAAATGTTTGACCATGGGTCATTTAAGTAAAAGGTTATGTGTAAAAAATCGTTTCATATCTATTCGCAGGTAATGAATCATGAAAAAGCACTCATACTATTAAAGTAAAGTTGTAGCCGTCATTCTCTTTTATCTTTCTTAACGTGATGGCTACTTATTTTTAGCTTGATTAGTTTTATTGATGAATATAAACTCATATCGGTAATATACTCCGATCAGTAACATGATTCTTTTACGACGATGAGGAGAGGGAAGGTCTCGAACGCTTTTCAGTTACATAATAATTCAGCATTAAATTTTGCCACCCGACAGTTTACGATATCGTCACCCCAAAAATGAATAAAAAACGTCAATAAATAAATGGGCGGCCGAGTAAAATGATACTTACCAAATTGAAATTTTTCTCCGAGGCTCCGTCTTTTCTCTCTTATCTTATTCTTGAGAATCCTCCTCTTCAAACGACTGAGAACTACGTCGGCCTCGTCCACACTTTCGGAGGACGAAGTATGGGGGACTTTCACCATCCCACTCACCGAGTGCCTCCGATCTTCTGTAAATACTTTTGGATCCCGATACCCCGGCTCGATTTCCGATAACCCACGTCTATACATTTTCAAGCGTTTTTTCATTTCAATGTCTGCGGCACAGTCCGTTGGAATATTAATGAATTCATTGTCGGACGTGTTATCGTCCATATTACAGGGGCGTTGGATTTTTTCCAAAGAGATTTTAGGCAATTCGCACCGTCTCAGTGGCACCCGTGAATTTTTTGGAGATTCAATTGTTCGCCGCCGCTGCAAAGTAAACCAATCCGGATTAGAGTTCATTCTGGCGGGTAAGCTTTTTAAGTAAGTGTTGAGGAAAGATATTTTATTGTGCGGCGGATTGTATACCGCTCCAGACTTGGATCGAGATAATTTAACCCCTCCAGATTCACTCGCTGCGTCTTTTAGCGTACTGTCATTGAATGATCGAGATTTATGTAAACCAATTTCGTACATCTCATTTTTATTATCGTCTGCCACCGCCTCCGATGATGGATTTGCTTCGCTTAAAGAAGAGACGGGTGAATAGTTCGAATCTTTATGCGAAATTGAGCCATTTTCCAAGGGCAATATTTCATGCCTTTCATTTTGTAATGTATGTTTTATATTTTCACAAGTTTCGTTGTCGGAACTTTTATAACTACTTATATCACTTACACCTTCTGACTGGAACGGGCTAGTCTCCAGACTGTTTGCATGTAAATTAGTTAAGTTGTTGTTTAATGTGAGTTTACTTGGAATGTTTACCACACTGCTATCATCTCGTATGACGTAACTTTTATTGCTGTTCCTGGTATTATCATTTATTGTCACCGGAGTTCTATACACACGGGTGTATACTTTGGAACCTGAGATCGTATTGTGTTTCCGAAGAGAGTTTTTATCAATGTAATGTTTAAAATCTTTCTCTTGCAACGAGTGACTGGTCTTAAGAGCGTGTTCGTCAAAGTCGGCACTTTTTATCGATATGTTTTCGTCATTTGTTTCAACTAAAAGATTTCCATCGCTATCGAAAAGTTGGATTGTGGGAAATTTTACACTTGGAGAATGGTTTCTCGTCCGAAGCTCCCATTTTCTCTGGCCCGGTTTTTTTAATTGAATTCTTATTATATTGTCATCTATTATCGGGCCATCACTGTCACTCGTATCTCCTTTTCTCGCCATTGTTTCTGTTTTATTATCATCGCTTTTTCATATACTTGTAAAACACCTGGAATCAAATACTTTTAACATACATAACTATTGTTAACTGCCACTAATTTGTTTGTTTACAGTCGGCTGTTCCTATAAAATTTGGCATTTTGCCAAACACAATAATCCACCGGCATTCACACTGAAATAGCACCAATGTCAATTTTGTTTTTCACCAAAATAACATAATTTGCATAACACTGACTTTCTGAGAGAGAGAAGGAGCGCCGGTCACTTTTGCGCACTGTAACACATTCACTGAACATCACTGTAGCCTAACGATGATGAAAACTAAGTGTTGCATAAACTTCGTGTGCTGATTGCTTATAATTGCGGCGTAATGAGTTTCAGGTCGTTTCATAAATTTCTCGTTTTATTGTGACGTTTCGATTTAACCGCGACTTCACGTATGTAGGGGGGCCGACTCGCGCGAATTTTTGCCACCCCAATTTCCATCACGTGGGATTTGGACGCTCTCGGCTCCGGACATGTTGATACTGAAAGCGAACAGCTGAATAGATGCGAGGAACTATAAATAGAGAACGAACGAGACTGCGATTATTCCGGATCCCCTTGAACCTAGTACGTGGCTAGTACCGAACAGCGTAATTCGTGACGTAAAAGCAACAACTGTTCGCACTGACACAGTTTTCTATATGACCATGCGGCGCAACCATATGCATTTGCTCGCAAACACAGCTGGCTAGTTATCCAACGCAACATTTTCATAATAAGCGCGCGTGGATTACGCAATATGTCTTCCATTAAATCAGATATTATGAGCATTCCTGCGGAGGAGGATTACGATAGCTCCTTATTTTTAGGGGGAATGATAACCTATCTATATTGATGAAACAAATTGATGAAATATCACGTTCGGAGTGAGTAATATCATAAGCCGATTTTTCTTGTGAGATTTTGTTCATCTTTGCTTGTCATTTGCTTCAATTTTATCTAAACTAAAATGTATTTGGTTTTTTTTTATTTGTAATAATAATATATTGCGTGCTATTAATGGAAAGTTCGATGGTGGGGGTGATTAGCGCGTTCGGCTGCAATCGTTGAAGTAAAGCAACTTTTGCAGTGGTCGGTCATTGGATGGGTGGCCAAAAATCTTCTATCTCGAGTTTCTCCGTGCTTCAGAAGGCATGTTAAACCGTTGGTCCCGGCTGCATCTGCAGTCGTTAGCACCCACCAATCCGCAGTCATGGCCCAATCTCCCTATTCCATCCATTGGAAAGGCCTGAGCCCTAGCAGTGGGGACATTAATAGGCTGATGATGATGATGATGATGATGGAAAGCTATCGTATACAGATATTTTAATTCAAATAAGCTTCGTATATATAATCTTACTAAAAGCAAACTTTTCCATGTCACTTTTTTAAGATAAAGACTTTTTAATTGAATTACTTATAAATGGCAAACTTTTTGATAAACAATAATCTAGAATTGGCATAAGCCATTAAAGAACTTACTTGCTTTATTAAAAGCTACCATAATAAGTCAGTGATTAGTAACCCCTCACTCTCATCATAATTAGTAACTTTGCTAGCAACTCCGCCGGTGGGTTTCCATTTAAAATTGAAGTTACGTGCAATTAGAGTAAAAAGTAAGTAAATATAAGACGTTATTTTATAATGTATTGAATTTACTATATATTATCAATGCGTTGAACATTTTATTCATATTATCGACAATTTGCTAAAGATCTGCGGTAATACATTTTACTATACATGGCGTCGTGCGTTTTTTTTTACGTTTTTTTTTATTTTCCGTCGAATCTCACTAATATAATCGGCGCTGCAGATTAGAGTGAGAGAGGAGAATCTACATAAGAAAGTTGTTAAACTAAATGAGCAAAGAAGATTGGTAGGTGTAAAGGGGATTGGAGGGTGGAAAGGGATTGGAGGGTGGAAAGGGGATTGGAGGGTGTAAATTAGATTCGAGGGTGAAAAAGAGTTCAAGGGATGAAAAGGGATAAGATGGAGGAAAGGGATTGAAGGGTGAAAAGGGGATTGGAGGTTGTAAAGGGGATTCGAGAGTGAAACAGGATTCGAGGGTGAAAAAGGATTCGAGGATAATAAGGGGATTGGTGGGTGATAATAAGGTATTGGCGGGTGATAGTGGGGATTAATAGGTGAAAAGGGAATGGAGGGTAAAAAAAGGATTGGCGGGTGCAAGGGATTCGAGGGTGATAAGGGGAGTGGTGGATGATAATAAGGGATTGTTGGGTGATAGTGGGGATTGATGGGTGATAATATTGGGGATTGCTTATTTTTGGTACTGTTTTCTCGCAAATGTGTTAAAAACGTTGTATGATATTCGTGCGGATTGGTATTTACAAACTCGCGACTCATTCACATTCGTCTACTCGTTTATAATAACGAATTTACCGCACTTGTATCATAAATAACTATTTCATGCTATAGATAGAAGAAAAATCTTGTTTGCGGGGTTATTACCACGCATTAGTTTTTTTAAAAAACATTTCTAATTATTGTAATTTAGCTTTATGATCGGAAGATTCTATACCGAACAGAACGTTTACATTTTGAACCACTATCAAGGCAAAAAAAAATTATGATCATATAGTCTACAGATTATTTATACCATAGACAAGAAGAATGTTAATATCGTCACGGGATCCACCTTGAAATACAGCAGTAGTCAGGTAAATTTGATGAACACTCACGTTATCACCCTACAAGTAATACTGATGATTAAGTGAATGACTAGAGTACATATATTTTCTTTAGATTTAAACATCAAGCAGTTACATGCTTTAAAAAAATAATAAAAATTATAACTACATCTGTTTTATTTTATTCAGAGGAAATTCCTGATGTCGTCAAAGTGTTCATAAAATTGGTCAGGTTCGTGTCACATGAAAGATTCTGCTGTGCAATCATACAATATTTCATATTTTTAAATAAAAGAAGAGATAGAAAATAATAACGTTCCCCCTTTTAATTTATTTAAAAAAAAAATGAGTTATTCTCACTAGCTTTTCAAAGTCTTACATTGAGAAGGGATATAAATTGCAAATAACACTGACTTCTGTTTAAAGTAGTAGAAATTATCGGATTAATATAGTTAAGGTACCATTACTATAATTCTAATAACTATGAGTTTCATTTCGTTTATAAAGCGTTAGATTATTATTTCAATAATATCCGGTCGTTCCTCGATTTTTTTATTTATTGGTAACCCTGTCATTGTGGCGCATTGAGAAGCGAGAATAATCATTGCTGGCGACATCGGATGGGCTTAATTAGGCAGACAATCTGAAGTGATATCTGGACACAGGGCTATATATAATTAAGGACGTGTTATATATATATCTAGCGTATCTGAAACGTCCTAAACAGGTACGCTCAGACGTGTTCTGAAGCGGAATTTGCATTTAGATTGGGTTTTACAGATTTCTTTTTTTCTAAACGCTATAGAGGAAATTACCTACTCCCATCTGGAATGTGAATGAAATCAACTTGTAAAGATAGCTATAAATAAATAAATAAATAATACCCACACTCACACCAATTAGCCTAGCCACAAAGCAAGCACTGTAAGGCTTGTGTTAAGGGATACTAGGGTAACGGATATAATACATCTGTTTTACATATATAAGTATATTTACATAGAAATACATATTAAACATCCATGACTGGAGTACAAATCATCGTATACATCACACAAACATCTGCTCCCACCGGATTCGAACCCGGGACCTCTCGAGTCGGCGACACCATGATATGACAACAGCATTTTAAACTTCAATCATCCCTTTCTTTGATAGTCTGAACCCAATCACCTTTATATTATACCTCGTAAGGCTTATAACCTTGTTTGTGAATGTTATGTAATTATGTATTTGGTGTTATAATAAAGTGCTAATCTATCTATCTTAATGATCCATAGAACATAACACCTATAAGAGGTAAGTATTATTGTTTCGCTGTGGTCTTCCATAAGCTGGACGTCATTTTAGAGATAGCTGGAGTCGTGGATTGGACTATTCGAGTTCAAATACTGTTATAAAATTCCTCTCGTTTGCCTTATCCACCATGAATTTTGAGTAATCTTAGAAACTTTACTAGCAACTTCAGACAATGATTTAGATATTCCCGTAGAAAACCATATTTTTTATTATTTTTTTTAAAAAAAAAGGTCTCTACGCTAACTCTCTAATTGAACAATTATAAAATTTTGTAATTATGACACCTTAACAATTTAAAATATCATAAATTAATTCAAATAAATCATCTTTTAGGATCTATGTACTTAGAACGGATAATAATTTCATACTAAGCATGTTATTTGCAAGCACCATTTTAGTATATTTTGTAAGCGACATAAATCGACTTGTTTGTATGGGGGTGTAGTAAGTTTACTGTTTATTACTGTTTGCACTATTTTTATTTACACAACTTTTATGTTTCTCAGGTTACTCAAAATTCACAGTGTATTATTGGATAGGGTTAAATTGATCCCCTTCTTGATAGAAGAATAATAGTTTGGACTAGTTACGCCGTGTTTTGTGCACTTTACTAAAATGACATTTTTAATTTTTGTGTTTTTTTTTTTTTTATAGATAGGTCCGACAAATGACTCCACCCCACCTGATGTTAAGTGAAGGTGAAGTCCAGACGCGAAGATAGCTGATACAGCAGTTCTACCTGCCACACCAGCCATCCTCACCCTGCCGGCCTGCATGTTGCTTCTTCACGCCTCTTTTAAAGGATCCCAGGTTGTAAGAGGGAGGGAACACGTGAGCGGGCAGAGCATTCCATTTACGGATAGTGCGACAAAGAAATGAGTCACCAAATTTTTTTGTACGCGTTGGAATTGTGGCCACAGTAAAACGGTGACAACGTAGGCCAGCGCGCGTGGTCCTCTGAAGGAAAGGGGAAGGTGGGATAAGAGAGAATAACACTCGCCGTGGTACAAACGATAGAACGCGCTTAGTGACGCCACGTCACGGCGTAATTGAAGAGGCTCAAGGTGTTTAGTCACCTTCTCATCGCCTATGATGCGGATCGCGCGCCGCTGTAACCTATCCAAAGCATCGAGCAAGTACTTGGCGGAGCCATCCCAGAGGTGCGAGCAATATTCCACGCAGGACCGCACTTGCGTTTTGTACAACAAGCACAGTTGATCGGGCGTGAAAAAACGCCGCACCTTTTTCAGGACTCCGAGTTTGCGTGAAGCTGTTTTGATCACGGTTTCGATGTAGTCCTTTGGATTCAGGTCTGAGCGAACTTCCATACCGAGCATGGAAATGTTGCTCTGCAGCGGTAGTGTTGTGCCCTGAAGAGATGGAAGGGGAAGGAATGGCGATGTTTTTGCCGTGAAAGCGCAAGCCTGAGTTTTCTTGGCATTGAACCCAACTAAGTTCCTGGTACCCCATTCGGAAATGTGGTCCAAAGCCTGATTGAGTTCAATGACAAGATTTTCCCGTTTCTCCTTGGTTACTGCCTGCCCAGCCGCTGCTTGTCCGAGATACCCCGCATGCACTGTACTATCGTCTGCATAGCAATGAATATTCCCAAGAGGAATCAAGTCATTGATATGCAGCAGAAAGAGAGTGGGGGACAGGACGGAGCCCTGGGGAACG